CGCCCCAGTGCACAAATTTCATGCACCGGGCCTCTAGTCTGTCTATATAAAAGCCTAAGCAACCGAATGAACAGTCTACTGGTCACTATGACACGCACTGACCACCAGTGGGCAGGTGCTCAACACAGGAGCTGCCTCCTGGTGGTCAGTGTGCTCCCACAGCCAACCTCCTGTGGCAGGCCAACCTCCTGAGGTCCCTCCCCCTGGCTGGCCCTGATTGGCCCAGATAGGACTGGGCGAGGTGACCCTGATTGTCCCCAATCGCAGGCCAAGCTGAGGAACCCCTCCCAGGCATGAATTTGTTCACCGGGCCTCTAGTCTATATATATAAAAGGCGAAGTGACTCTCTGACCAACCGTACATAGGTATGACGTGAACTGACCACCAGGAGGCAGATGCTCAACGCAGGAGCTGCTGAGTGACAGCAACTTTGCAGAGTGCCCTCCAACACTCTGAGACCCCTCAGAGGATGTTGGAGAGCCAGTTTCGGCCTGATACCTGCAGGCCAGGCCAAGGGACCTCACTACCTCAACAGATGCCCTTTACTGCATGCTGCCCCAAGTGTGGCCCGCTGGGGAGGGACTGCAGGAGGTTGGCTCCATGGCATGTCAAGCCCTTCTTGCCCAGTCCCACCTTGCCTGCCACCTTCTAATTAATTCCCTTTCAATGTGCACAAATCAATACACCGGCCACTAGTGGTTCTCAGAACATTAGTGTGCTAGAGCTAACACATAAACCTGTGTTTCGCCTTTCACCTGCACCTCATCACCACAACCTACCACAAGTAATTATGCTAGGGGTTATCACCAGCCCAACTTACCCCAGGCAGTCATGAATGGCCCAGTTCCAGAATTTCAGCTGGAGAATGTGCTTCCTAGGGCTATCCTATGGCCAGCTGTCAGACTTGGGCTCCCACCAAAGCAGAGGCCAAGACAAGGTGCATGTGCAATTTAAACGGGAAGTCATCTCAGGCAGCAAGAGCAAGTTTATTTATTTGGGGAAGTGGTCTCAGGGAGCAAGACTGAGGCTATGAAGAGAGTGACACAAAGAAGGAAGAAGTACCGCTGACTGAGGGTCATTTCCAAGGTCCCTGCTGTGGACAGCAGAGACTGGATTGTGCAAAAGCATATAGAATGCCTCTCAGGGTTGCCTGGTGAAGAGGCAGTGGGGCGTTATCCACTGGTTCCTGTCTCCTACTTTTGAGTTGTCCTCTGCCCTCTGAGCTCCACTTGTGCTCAGACATAGTGAGCCCCCC